ATTGGACTGCTCAACGGCAGATGAATCACAGCGGGCACTTATCTTAGAAAGCATTGCCATAACTTCTTTATGACACGCATCAGAAGAAGCTGTGTTGTTCTCGACATCATCTAGTGGCCCAGGGGTCTTTTTTGGAGGCCTTGGGTTTGCTTCAACGTCACCGCAACACAAGAGTAGCGAGCAAAGGGCGTTAGTACACTCTCGGGACAAGACGTATAACACCTGTGGGCGTGGAAGCAGCAGTAAACAACGGTTACTTGTCTTCTTAGCATATAATGAATCGGTTTTACCAACCTGTATAACGTGAAAGCGAAGCTCGTAAGCCATTGCCACAGTTGTGCTGCCTCCACGCCCACTAAACCACTGACGTTCGCTGTTGCCGCTTTTGTTGCTTGATAAGAACAATGTCTCTGACGATGAGGATATCCCGAATGGCATGGAAAGCTCAGGTGTGTCAGCGCAGGCACTCGGATCCGTAGAAAAGCCGCAGTCTTCTGGAAACTGCAGCTGTTTGGCAGGGGTGTCAACCGGCCTTCCGGAGTGAACCACAAGCGGCAGCCAGACCAAGACGACCTGTATAACGTGAATGCGAAGCTCGTAAGCCATTGCCACAGTTGTGCTGCCTCCACGCCCACTACCGTTTTTACATGAGTCACGAATTCACACCATGCTCGATAACGAAATTTGAACTTGAATAGAACTCATATAGGCGCTCATTTTGGAAAGTAGGCATTTATAGGCATCTATGGGCATTTAGCCACGAATACCCAAAATAGGCATCTATAGGCACTATAAAAACATCATAAAAGGCCTTTTCAATCTCTAATTCATTATCATATATCAAATTGGCACGATATGAATGCAAGGAACAAAATAGGCATTTGCCTATAATCCGGTCTCTAATCATAAGGATAAGGATGGTCTCGACTTTATTAAAAGCGCCAGCGTGCTCTTCACCGCGGCCCGTGGCATACACAGGCAGCCTGAGGCTATTAATGTAGCCCATAGACCTCTACCGGGGTACGTCACAGCGTCAGGTCCTGGTGCACGTGCAAGACAGTGGTTGGCAAAACACTCCCACCGATGGCTGAGCGGGGTGCAGTGGCTCGTAGCTTGGGGCAAGTTTTTTTTTTTTTTTGAAAGCTTAATCTTGATCTCACAGTGGCAACATCAGATGTGGTATCTGTCAGAGAACATCTAGGTGTGTGGTAAAGTACATGATGAATTATTTGCCACGCTGGCTGGCTGTTTATCTCGAAGAAGTGAACATATGTGGCAGCCTGTGCGAGGAACAGCAGCATCATCTTCGAAAATGTGCAGCGTTGATTATTGCGTGTAGTGTGCGTTTACAGGCATCGACAATATTGGTTCACCTTTACAGACGGTAAAACTGGGAATATTGTGCATGGTGTGTGCAGTGTGAATCAACGTTTCTAGAAATGATGGGGTGAATAACGTGATGCGTCTTGTTTGCGAAAACGCTGGTATTCGTTGTGGGCCGGTTGCAGTAACCGCTTGTCGATGGAACATCACGATCTGACATTTTAGTCAAGGTAAGAGTGCATTTGACCCGATCATCTGCGAGTGGATACATCTCGGTGTATGCGCGGCATGCATAAAAATAAAAGTGCATGATCTCCGGGTGATATATACGACTACGCATGAGCTATCATGTTATAGCATTTCCAAATCTGCATACACGCTTCACCACGGCTATAACTTGTATTATAGGATACCTGATACATGTTAATGGAAACAGTGGAGATTTTTGTTTCTTATCTACTTTGTACTTTTGTTGCTCGACCCTTATGAAGGGACAATGCACATTAGAAGTTTGTGTATCAAGCCTAAAGGAGCAATATAGGTATGAAAACACGTTATAGGTATCAAATACCGCAAGGTAACTGCACTAGATAATAATTAAGTGGTCGGGTTTTACATCACATGAATTTTCACTGGGTTATTGAGAAACGCAGTGGCAGAATTTCACTTTAATTTTAACGAGGATATGTTAACCTCAGCCTAACGCACGGCAAGAAGTGCTTCATTTTTTTTTATTCATCTCCGATCAGACTTTTGCCTAATGGTTGAGAATACTATCGAGGACGTCGCACATGGCAGCTCAATGGTGTACCTCATTTCAAACTGCATTGCACATGCCACGATGGAAATTGAATGTGGTTACATCCATGCCATGCTAATGTTTCTGAAAGTGCCAGTCACCGTATGCATTCAAAATGTTCGCTTTCGAAAAAGATATTTATGGCTGCCATCTACGTGGGTGAAGCCCACTGCGTGCTAGTCCCGTCTCTCAGTACTCTAAATAAAGTTTCTCCATCCATTCGTGTACCACGAGCAAATTTCCACACTATGAGCAGTGACCCTTCCGCAACACCCTTCTTTCAAAAGTTGTGATTTTAGAACATAGCAATGTGGAAGTTTATGTCAAAGGAATGCAGACACGCAGCTCTCCATGCAGAAAGATGCCGCCGGCGGAATTTTCTTGCCAACCAGCACCTGCTCCCAGAGAGGGTATGGTGGCCGGGGTGCCCGCAGTGACGTCACACTGTTTACAAACAGGGAGAGGTCTATTGCTACAAACGTGTTTGTGGGCACTGGCTCCAAAGTTTCGTCGTTCTTGCCATCTGATTCCTCCAAATCACTCTTGCCATGTGCTTCATTCAAAATGCCCTCATCCGTGCACATTTCTACAGTGTTGGCACTATTATCGGCTGTAGTAAAGTCATAGCAACAGATGTTCCGCACGCCCTCCCATGGGGATGATGCGCTGCCACAAATCGCCGCTGGAGTGGTCTTTTCCAAAAGCTTCAGGCTCGGCATGAGGTCGGACGTCGACGAATTCAGCCTCGCGAAAACAGTTTCGCACACATGTAGTTATCGCAGCCCACAAAGGACACCTGAAGCGGCAAGTTAGCTGCCAGGCGGTCAACAGATATGAGCAAGCGCTGGACAATGTGGCACCTATCCTAAATGCACGCATTATGCCCAAGCCAAGGGGTCTCAACGGTTGGTTGCGCGGCACAAAAAAGTGCGTCAACCATCCTTCCTAATCACACACTCACCAACAGCGGTCAAGGTGCGCATGCGCGATGTAGAAGCCAGCATGCTTAGAACTGCTCTGGGCTTGTTTCTAGTCCGAAAAAGAAACTTCCTAATTCGAGCAAGCGTGGCTGGCGTCGCGGAGCGGGTGGAGACAGGCGAAGGAGTTGCAGTAGAGTGGCGGGGAGGCGGCCTTGAAAACCAAAACACGTGGGAAGAACACAGGTCGGGTAGCTTGCTTGAAAGGTCCACGAAATTCGCAACTCGCACTTACGAAAACTTGGGAGAGCGGTCGGCGCGCGCATAGGTCAAAGATTCACATTGTGGCACTGGCGGGCTTGCGCGGCCCCGCTGACTTCATTAATTAATGATTTTCTCCGTCTAAAAGTAATTTTTACGCTTCATGGCGCGTGCGGAGGGAGCGAGAACAGGTCCAAAACACGGAATCAATTGTGAATTTTTAAAGTAGGTGGGGTAGTGCATGCGCGTGCACTTAAAAGATATGACACCGATGCAGATAACACCCAGACGCAGACGATGTTGGCAAGTGGTCTGGTCATTCCAGGCCGGCGACACCAACGATAGTGTAACAAAACCAGCGATCAAAAACTTAGGGGAGACTATAGTTCGCCGCCCGGTTTTCGAAGGATCGGTGGCAGTGTGAAAACACTGGCCTCGTCTGACAATGTGCATTCTCAGAGTAGCGGGGGCACATAGGACGGAAGATCGCGTTAACACACAAAAAAAAAGAAACGGTCAGGGAGAGCAACAACTAGAGAGGTGTGGAGACAGGCTCACCGTTGAACAATAAGTATCTAGGAGAACCTCGTCGATGGCTTATCGGTGGTTGAAAGTGGTTTCCCGTAGTGCCGACTCCATTCGCTGTAACCGATCGGCGACCTGCTGTTCGTTGTAAGTGTGATTTTGTGCCATTGAAATAATGTATATTCCCCGCTCATGCGGGTATCGTTCGTTTTAAGTGGAGCCATTATATGTGGGCTCCACTGTGCGTGTGCGTGCGTGTGTGTATATGTGTAAGAAAAATAGTTACTTTTGACAGACTCACAATACCTGAGTTGTGATAACTGAGCTAAGTTTGTATATGGCAGTGACTATAGTAAATATTTTCCCCCACATTTAAATTAAATTGAGGCAATAAACTGAAGAATTTTAAGCCGAACAACATAAGTAAAACTAAAGACATCATGAGAGAGATAAAGATCGCGTCACCGCTTGGGCCTTGGCACTGACAGCATGTAAACATCAATGTGCAAAGCTCAGTGTGCGAGAGCAATTTACAAAAATGCAACTCTTGCTTGTCTTGTTATTTATCAAGCTAAACGCAGTTGCAGTCCCAAACTTCTGTTGTTAAAAGATGAAGGCAAAACTGGTTAATGCAATGCCACTGTAGCATAGTAAAATCTGAGTAAGAGTCAAGTAAAATGCCTTTCTCCATTAATAAATATAGCGTCTACAGTCGTAAAAGCTTGGACTGCATGCACATTGGTAATTTAGTTATTAAAAGAAAAAAAGACCTTAGTTTTGTTTTTTGGTTCTTTTGTCAGTGCTCATAATTGAAAAACAATTCAAAATTTTTTTGGCATTTTGAATGTGCTATTTGAGTAGTGAGTCGAATAGACAGTTATTCAATTTGTTATTCTAAATTTAAAAATATTTGTACACCCCTAATTACATGGGGACCCTTAACTACACGGGGCTGCTAAAGGCTTCATATCAGGTTGACTGGGTCCCATTATAACTTCTAATGATGTGTCGCATACTCTAGCAGTAGAGGGTTTCCAGGCATCATTACTCGAGTTGGAAGCTACCTATTACTGTGAACAAAGTGACAATTTTCTCATTGCCCTAACCTGTAAGTATTGGGTAAATAGGCTGTGGTGGGGCATAACATTGTTTTGTTTTAGTTTGGTATGTTTCAGGCAGCCGTTATGCCGAGATTAATGCGATGGTGGAAAAATTGATCAAGCATCGCCACCACCATCGTTTGTTCCCCGATTTTAAAGATGTCTTGGATGTAGTGCGATCTAGAAATAGAGCACATGGCCTTGCGCTTAGCATGAAGAATGAGGAAAGCCTTGGTAAGTGTGTTTTAAAATGCTAGGGGTGGCACCTCAAGTGGCCATTACTACGGAGGGGGGGAGTACCACAGGGACACTTTTTTTTAAACAGAATGAACTACATCAATGTAATAGAACTTATAATTTGGGCAAGTTTCTTGTCATCAGAGATCAAGATCATTTCTTTTAAGTTGAGGCGTATTTTTTATTTGACAATAGGGCATATAGAGATCAGTAGCCTTTATGGAAAGTAACAGGAAAATCAGTGCAGTGCAGGAATGTTGTGTCATTTGTTAGCATTTTTTAGCACTGTATGTTGGTCATGTGTTAACATACTGTGACTGTAAACTGATGCTTTCCCATAATATTGCTGAAGATGAGCCAAGTATGTCATGTTTTTGTTTACACATTCATAGTCAATTGCTTGCAATAATTGTGTAATATCTTCTACAGCTAGCTGGTAATGGTGCTTTCCAAAAATTTTTTTTTTCCTTCTTGCGATGTGCCATGGCTTTCTCTTTACTACACCTGGTATTGCAGCAGCCTTTTTGGTACTTTACTTGTAGCGGTATTGGCTGGGTAGCCTTCATGGTAATTTGAGATAAATGGCAAGAACACGGTAGTCCTCGTTCTTTAGTATATAGAGATTTAGATCTCGTCCACGGCACAATGTGACCCGAGTGGGTGTTAAGCACCTTCATTTTTGGATGGAAGAGCAGAAATCGATGCATAATAATACCAGGGGTTTCCGTATATTGTGGCTGTTCTATTTCACTTTACAAGCATTCATCGCACTGTTTCTCTTTAAAAATAATAATGAACTCCTACAATCACTGGCCTTCATGTTCTATACGAACTGCACTTCCGTTCTTTTGCTCTTTTTTTTTTCTTTCTCAGTGATAAATACCAAAGCTTTGCTGTCTACAAAAGTGAGCATAGTTTACTATCAAACTTGGAGTAGTATACAAAATTAATTTTATGTGGTAGGTTTGAAGGGTTTGTTATGGTAAAGAGATATACATGAATATTTGTTTTTCTTGTATCCTTTGAATGATATGGACGTTTACCAAATTAACTGGGTCTTTTAATGCACGGACATAATGTAGAACTTCCACTTTCCACCTCTTGTGGCAATTTATAAATCGAACAACTCTAACCTATCACTCTTAAAAAGTACTCGTGGTTGTGACACAGAAAGTCTTATCGCAGCTCCAGGGAAGCTTTGGCATTCAAGTTTTGGACTAGAACCTGTTGTTGCATATACCATCGAACCTCATTAAAATAAAATTGCATCTTACACTAAAAATGAGTTTGTTATATTAAAAACATTTTATAAAGGTTTATTCTTCATAGTATATCTAATAAGACTATTTTTAATTTACTTCCTTATAACCAATTTTTCATTAAATCTAGGTTCGTTATGTTGAGGTCTGAGTGTATTTACACAAGTAGTCATTTTCTCAGAATCTAGGAAGCTTTTTCCCAAGAAAAATAACTGATTATGTGCTGCTTTTGATAGGTAGAATAGGGTGGAAATATTTCTTAAAGTTGCGAGAAAGCTCAATCTTATTTCTTGCATTATGTGTGAGGCTAATAATGATGCAATAATGCAAGGATTGTACTTGTGCCACTCTCCTGCTATCTTACTGAGGAATGGTCACTTGTTTGCCACATGTATATGTTTTTTTTATTGCCGATTCTTAGGAAGTAGTTTATATCAGCTTATACTATGGGGATTACTAGTTTATATGAAAGAAAGGTCGTGCCAGACCTTTGAATGTGAAAATTTAGCACTTGTATAAAAATGAACTGCAACGAAATTTTACTTGGGCGGAAATGGCCATAAATACGTATACAGTCGAGCCCACATATAACGGCCCCACTTAAAACGAATTTCCCCTTAAAACGAACAATATCCGCGTGACCGTCAAAATATACATTGGTTCAATGGCGCAAAATCGCACTTACACTGAAAGTCTCCAAGCGCCGCTGAATGGTTACAGCGAACGGAGTCAGCGGTGTGCTGACTTCCCGGGAAACCAATTTTGACCACCGATCAGGTATCAGCGAAGTGCCCATACATTCTTATTGTTAAATGCCGACCCTGCCTCTGTGACCCTCTAGTTGCCGCTCTCCGCAACCCATGGAGGAAGGAAAGCTGTTTCCTTCCTCCGTGCCCCGACTGCTTTTTGTTACGCACCCCTCGGTCCATTGTCCCCCTGCTCCTCTGAGCACCCCGCATCGCCAGATGAGGCCCGTGTTTTCACATTGCCATCGATCTTTCGAAGACCGGTCGGCCATCTACCCTGTTTTTGATCGCTGGCACTGTCGTTCGCGTCGCCGGCCTGGAGTAACAAGACCATTTACCAACATCGTCGGTTACCGACTGTATCTGATATTCAGCGTCTAGTGCACGTGTGTACGCTACCCCACCAACTCTGATGATTTGGGATTTGTTTCGTGTTTAGGACTTGTTCTTGCTCACTTCGCACTCAGCTCAGCATGCCTTTCGTGCGCGTGCGGAAGCATGAAATTGGCTGTTAATTTGCGCAGAACGAATCGCGAAATATCGAAGTTCGTGAGGCAATGCAAACCCTCCGGCGCAACAAAACGATTTTTGACCACGGCCGCAGATTCTTCGAACACCGCCGCGCACAGGCTCTCTTTCCAAGTTTTTCTGCGTGTGAGTTTCGCAGACCTTTCAAGCAAGCTATCAAACGTGCCTCCTTCCCGCGTGTTTTGCTTTTCAAAGTCGCCCTCCCGCCTCATCCTCCCCCCTCTTTATCGCAATTCCTTGCCCTTCTCTCGTAAGTCTGCTCTCCTCTCTTGATCACAAGCCCTTCGCCCGTCTCCACCGCCCAGCGCTGTTCCACCCATTCTGGCATGTGTGTCGCGTGTGCGCGTCTTACTCGCTCTTCGTGTGCGTGTGTGGTCATAGTGGCCAACGGGATGACTAGCACGCTTTTTACTGCCGCTCAACAAAACGTCGAAGGTGTGACCGCTTGGCTTGAGCCAAATCCGCGTGTTAGGTGCCGCGTTGCAGAGCGCTTGCTCATAGCTATTGACCACCTGGCAGCCAACGTGCCGCTTCGGGCGTCCCGGTATTCAGCTGAGCGTGGAGATGGTGAATATTTCGTGGGCGGGGGTGACGGCTACATGCGCGCGCAACTGCTTTCGCGAGGCCGACTTCGTCGACGTTGGACCTGATGCCGCGCCTGAAGCTTCCGAACTGCGGCGGCGATTTGCGGCAGCGCGTCATCGACTCTTATCTGGGAGAGCGAGTGGGACATCTGTTGCGGTGGTTTAATTACGGCCGACGATGAGGCCAACACTGCAAAACCGTGCATGGATTGGGGCATTGTGAATGGAGTACGTGGCAAGAGCAATTTGGAGGAATCGGATTGCGAGAACGATGAAACTTTGGAGCCAGTGCCCCATGCAGATTATGCCACGGGCCTCGGCGAACGAGCCCCCTGCCGTTTTAAATGAACTCGAGACCACCCGTATTGTTCTGTTCTTCGAAACACGTGCATCACGGACTTTTGGGGGCAAAAAAAGTTTGCGTTTTCACTCGCAACTTTTTTAAAAGCTGTGTTTCATTTACTACGAACTTCGCGATACAGCGAACGAATGCCGCGTCATGGTCAGGTTCGTTATAAGCAGGCTTGACTGTATATATATATATATATATATATATATATATATATATATATATATATACACCAAAAACAAAAGTGATGCTGGGTCCGGGAAAGATTATTCGTATAGGGAAGAAGACGCACGTACGAAGTGATTTATTGACGTTTTGGCCGTGGGTCCGGCCTTCATCAGAAACGTGATGAAGGTCGGACTGATTCTGATGAAGGCCGAACCCGCGGCTGAAACGCCAATAAAATCACTTCGTACGTGCGTCTTCTTCCCTATACGAATATATATATATATATATATATATATATATATATATATTTCTATACGGTAAGTTACGATAATGACAGTGAAAAATCTCGCAGCCGTGTATTTAATTTATAGTTTGTGCTCTAATTGCCAGCAAGCAGAGGATCAGGAGCTCTAGCAGTGTGCCAAGGCAAATCGGACAGAACCGGACATGACGAATACTACAGAACGTTGCCGCGTCGCTCCTTGTCAGCAATCCTCCCTGCCGAAGAATCGCTCTTTTCTGTGTTGAAGCCACTTTCAATGCAGCGTGTTTGAACGTCTGTGTTTTTGTTGCCTTGGCACCCCCTAAAGACAGCGCGTTCGAAACGTGTTCGTGCTGCATTGAAGTCGATGGCAAGTCAAGTTCAAGGCAAGCAGCGTTTCTGAATACGAGGGTCAGACACTGCAAATGCACCAGTGGGAAGCCCGGACGAGCGTTGGATAAAAGGCATGTTCACGCAGCTTTCATAAGTTAACATAGAAAAACACACTTACACTAAGGGACACGTCCGCGATGTGCGTGCTTGAAGAGTGTGGAGCAGACGATTTTTCTGTCATTTACGTCACTTCCAGTCATCCGTGATGGCATCGTTTTTTCTAGTTTCGGTCTCAAAAACAACACCTTTTGCAAGCTTTTTTCTAAAGTAAGTGCGTGTATTTTGAAGGCAACATTTGTCAGGCAGCACTACCTCTAGCTAGACTATCTATACATGGACTTTTTACGGAGTGCCGAATTTCGTTGCAGTTGGCCTTTAAATCCAATAGCCTGAAAGAACTGGAAGTATGGTTTCCTTCTGGCCAGCTTTCTATCAGTTGTCTACTTTTCTCTCATAGTACTGGCTGCTGATTAAATCATGAAAGCTTGACACTTCATATGCTGCATCACAAATTCTCTATTGGGCTTTCATACATACGTACTAGTCAGCTGAATTGTACTGAAGTTGTTGATGCCTTATTTTTACTTTTCACCACCGTGTTACAATTCTCAACTGTTTGTTGTTATTTTGTCTTTTGGGTGATCACCTGTAACTTGAGTCATCCCAGATTTTTTGCTCCATTCCTGTCAGTAGTCATCCACTGTTTCG